TCCAAAAATCAAGTAATCGTAATTAGAGTATATTACATCATATAATGCTCATAATCAGATTATAATTACTTTTTTAAGAGTTACATGATTACATATTATTCACACACTGCCAGTAAATCATTCATCATTTATTGATTCTCCCTAATTCTTCTTTGAATATATTCACAATATATAAAGGCCATATAAAAAAAATTGCTATCCATGCTTCAGAATTTGGGGGGGGGGAAAGCACCTCTCAAGCAATTAGACCATGAATGAAACAAAGGGATTGCCAAACGCCTTTAACATTAAATTAAAAATGTCTCTGAGAAAGCTAATATTTCAATAATTTAACAACACATTTGCATGTTTACAGTTCAATGTCACTTACTGGTCACATTGACATGCAGGTAAACAAAATAAATATTTATATTTTTAGCGTTCAAGTGTTTAAATTATTTTTATTGTACATATGATTTAATTAATTATTAGCTTTCTATCAACTCAAAAACCTACTGCAGTTCTTACATTAAGCCCAGTTTGGGAAACCCTAATGCATCTTATAACGTTGATATCAAAAATGGAATATATTTTCTTTCTCCTTGCTTTTTTATATCAATATGGTATGTTAAATGGAGAGTTTAAAAAAAGGTAGATAAAAAAAGTAATCTAAAAAGTAGTCAGAATACATTACCTAAAATAAGTAACCTAGATTACATTACTAACTACAGTTTTCATAATGTAATCTATAATCAGTAATGGACTACAATTTGTAAGTAATCTACCCAGCTCTGTTGAATCTAGTTTGTTGTTGGTAATAAAAAAAAATAATAATAAATTTAAAAAAAAAGTTTTTCCCCCCAAGGTAACCAATCAGATATTCCCGATGTGGACATACTCGTACCTGGCAGTGCTGGTTCCTGTCTTCCTCCTCACCGATTGGCTACGTTACAAACCTGTGGTGGTCTTCCAGTGTTTAGTCCTGTTCTCCGCCACGGCGATGTTGCTGTGGTGTAATGGTGTACCAGAGATGCAGGCCATGCAGTTTACGTATGGAGTGGTGACGTCATGTGACATTGCTTACTTCACGTACCTCTACAGCGTGGTGGAGTTGAAGCACTACCAGAAAGCCACCTCGTACTGCCGGACTGCCCAGCTGCTGGGCTACACCGTTGGTTCAGTGTTGGGCCAGATCCTAGTCTCTTTTGAACTGATGTCCTATAACTACATTATAGTGTTTACACTGGTTCTCACTGCCATTGCATTGATCACCTCCATTCTTCTCCCAATGCCCAAGACAAGTATGTTCTTCCACCAAATGAGGAGTGCTAGTGGAGAGACTGATGGTGAAGGGCATGTTGGGACAGAGGAGGAACTTCAGAACAATGGCCAAAAAGATGGCGTAGAGTTGGATGGATCCAAACAACTGCAGCAAATACCGGAAAGTTCCAGTGATTGTGATAATAGAAGTGCAAAAAGTTATAGGACAGGTAGGACTAATGAGTTAAACCTGTCATATTAGTAAAATCACATGGCTAATAATGAGTGCTGCAGGAATGAGTCCTAAACCAACTAAAATAAGTGGCATTTTTGCACTTCTGGCTCCATCGTCCCAAAGTCAATGGGTTTTTTTACTTTTTGGTTAAATGTCTGAAATAAGGTCTGTGGTTAAGCTATTTTCATGTTTTATTCTACAACTCAGTAATGCCCCACTTGTGATATTTTAAGCTTTTATGTGTCTTGAAAAAGGTGGTTGCTAACAAGTTGCTAAATGAGGCCGTCAGCGGACAAAACAGCAAAATTCATTAACTCAGTATTCTGCTTTTACAGTCTAACCAAGAACTTAAAACATTAAACCCACAGGAAATCCCAAAGTGAATCAATAGCGAAAATGCACATTTTCTTCCATGTTTAAAGTCGCAATGAAATGGCCTCATGATATCCCAGGTGGCTGCGGTGATGTCCTGCTCCGGTTGTGGAGGGATTTCCTGCAGTGTTTCTCCTCACGTACGCTGCTTATCTGGTCAGCGTGGTGGGCACTAGCTACCTGTGGCTACAACCAAACGGTAAACTACGTCCAGTCGCTGTGGGAGTACGTGGAGCCGTCTAGTAACTTCACGGTCTACAATGGGGGAGTGGAGGCCCTCTCAAACCTGTTTGGTGAGTAGATGGGACACTTATTGTGAACTCAGTTAAGTCTAGAAAATATGCCTGATATAGACCTTAGTCAGGGTAGCACCATATTAAATTTTTGACAGTAATGAAAGCAAGCTTTGAGGGATAGAAGTGCAGTGCGTTTAATAGATTGTTGTTTAACAACATACCGATTGTTCAGCTGAAACTTTCTGGAAAATAAAAAGCTTTCAGTAGACAAAAACTCCATAAATCAGTTTTGAAAGTTGTGAGTTGTGAAAAGTATGTGATCTAGGACATTAATACAGTGCGTAGCCTACTACTGTAAAGAGTAATTAAGTCTATAAGTCTATCAATCACAGCCTTGTTTTTTTTAAAATCCGTGTTAAATTCAATATGGCATCTAACCTGACTATAAGCTCCATTGTTGCATACGAAATCGAACACTTCTCTACTATATCCACCTTTTTCTTTCCGTAAAAATGGGCGCGGCCATTTTTAAATTATATGGGTCTAGCTTCCGGTCTCATCCGCGTCCAGCTATTTTTAGCTGTACAAAACAGTTCGTTTTGCTGCTTGATATTGAAAATTGGTGTGTCTTACCATATTATTTTAATGTATTATCTTAATTATGAACACAATGGTTTGTAGAGCAAACAGTTTACTGCACGTTGTTATTCTTTTCGTTATTTACCTATAGCGGCTAATGAACCAGAAGTCTCGCCCATAGGCTTACTTCCGCGTTGAAGAAAAAGGTGGATAGCATTTGAAAAACAGTATGCCAAAAGAGCAGGCCTAGTATGTCCGAATACACAGTAGGTGAAAAGTACCCGCATTCTGGTGAGGTTCTGAAGCGTGCATTTGATGGACATTTTACTATCCCATGAGGCCATGGGAGAGGATTTGTGATTGGCATTCACACTACACTGAAAAAAATAACTTTTAAGATTTACTTGAAAAAATCCTAGTAACAATTTGCACATTTTAAGTCAATTTTACTGTTCTAATATCAAGTACAACTTATTACTTACTACTGAACTTAACATTTATGAAGAAATTAAATCTAATTGCACTCCAATTAAGTAAATATTTCTTAATTAATTTAAAATACAGGCCTTTAGACTGTGTTTGAACGTGTTTCTTACTGGACATGACTGCACCGCAGGGGCCGCGGCGGCATACGCCATCAGTTTTTGAAGTGTTTGTGAGGTGGCTCTGGGCGCCCTCTCGGCGTTTCCACTCTTTTTCAGGAATCATTTTCCAGGACATTTTTAATTTAATTACGGTGGCAATAAAAGACAAGGATCACACCCTAAAGTTATTCTCTCTCTCCAGATATCCTTAAAAGAGATAGTTTGGCCATGATTTAAAGGCAGAGTAAGTGATTTTTCAAAAACACTTTAGAAAACTGATTCGGGCCGAATCGCAATTAATGCTAATAATAAATAAAACATTAGCATGTATTTTTGATTGATTGAATGAATCGATTCTGATTGCCGATTTTTACAATGAAAATGGGCCGATTTTATTCATATTTATTTAACTTTTTTTAAGCAAGAGACAAGATAGAATGAAAATATTAGTACATGAACAAGATTTATTTGCTCTATTACAGGCCAAACTAGCCTTTATCTGTAGCCATTTGAAATGAGAGGCAATCGCTGCATTTTAATCACAATCCAAACAAAGATCCTACATGAGCAGTTTTTGATTTAATAAACTAGATAAAATCATTTCAAAACCTGAAGCTAAAACATAATGGTCTGACCTCAGCTTTGTGAAATGATGCTACATAAAACTTATCTGCACGAAACAAAAACAGCAGATGGGCTGAATGAAAATGCAAATTCACTCTCTTGACAGCAGGTGGCACTTCTGGGAACAAAGCAGCGCTGCACTTAATATAAACACTACTTTAATCAGTACTGCCAGATTTAGCGACTCTTTTTAAAATAAAAATTGTAATGGTGTCTATTATATTATCTATGATACTAACATTTTCAAGACATTCCAAGGCCTGGAAATTACAAATAAATACATTTTCTAATATTTAATAATATATCATATTTTCATTTACTGCGTTACTCATCACAGGGTCCCCAGACCTAATGAATTTCCATGATTTTTCCAGTCACTCATCATTACAGATTAAGGGTTTTAAATAGTAATTTAAAGAGATTTGCCCAAAACAACTTTAGCCAATGACATCTTTTAGAACTGAGCACAACTAGAAAAATATATTATAGATATTTTTATTAATTACAATAACTTCTCCAGGCATGGAAATCACAATTTCCTGACATTTAATAAAGCAGCAGAAAGAAAAATACATCTACACTAATATCATCTCTCCAATTAGTCAATGAATGCATGAGTACATCCATGCCCTTGTTTCATAGGTTCCAGATAGCAGCTGGGTTGAACATGGAGCACTACGCCCCTGTGTTCGGAGCCAACACCTTCTGTGCGCTGGTCCTCCAGACAATCATCACCTCCGTGGTGGTGGATAGCAGTGGGCTTGGTGTGGATATTGTCACACAGGTGAGGTTACCTGACACCTTCTATATAGGTCAAAATGATCTTCTACGGTCATCGCCAGCACGACACATATGCTAAATTCAATAAAATTACATTTGTATTGGATCCAGAACATGTATTTAGACTGTTCTTGTTACTTGTCTTCCAGTTTACAGTCTACGGAGCAAATTTTTCTATTATTGCACTCATTTTCTTCTTGAGGGGTTTGTATACCACAATGTGCCCGAAAACCTGAGACGGAAACACCGAGAGAAAATCCAGAAGAAACTTTTAAGGCAGAAGATGATGCACAAATCATCATTGGAACAAAGTTCTGAACACAAGGAACAGGAAGTACAGGAATTTTAAGCCATCACACATGATTTAGGTAAAATTCATTGTTATATATATTGTATATATATTTATATTAATAGATTTCTGTAACATAAGTGGTCTTGAGTCAGAGTCTCACGAGTTCAGGAGTTGACATTCTAAAAGAGTCTTGTAGTTTTAACTCCTCATAACGGAAAAACAATGTTTTTGCCTTATTCTCAGAAACTCCAAAAGCACTAAAAGACGACAGTATGATGTCAAAAAGAGATTCCACATTCTTGCGTAATGTTATTCACAGCATGGCGGACGTCAGCGCTGTATATGCAGTGTGTGTGTGTGCGTGTACGCATGTATGTGTGTTAAAGATACAAATACTGATATGCACAAAGACCTAAAAATGAGCAATTTCTATGAAAGAATTATGTACAGAATTGCAGCATTAACATGAACGGGAGGTTTGCAATAATTTAGTAATCCACCAAGTCGTGCAGATGATTTCCAGGTCAGGCCAGTTCACGGGAATGACAAAAGGAGCATGGTTAAAAAATAAAAAAAAAAGCTCCTTTTCTTCATACAACCCTGCAACATGTTTTGGTTTCTGTTACTATGGATGTGCCATAGACAGGATCATGTATCTATTCCTTTGCTGTTTTTTTTCAGTCTTCTGCTCTTAAAATTCAATAAAAAATTTCTTTAGGAAATTGATATATATATTTTTTTTAAAGCTACTTGAGAAACAAAACAGTGCAAGAGGTGCGAACGAGTCGCAGGTCGCCCACCGGAGGAGCAGAGGACAAAGGCGCGCTATAAGAAGGGGTTTGAGGATGAGCCTCCTGCAGGAAACTGTGCTGCTGGTGCCCCTGCCTGCAAGAGAAAAGAAAAAACTCAATCAATCAATCAATCAATCAATGAGACTTAAATTAACATTTGGAATATAATGTAGACCAGTGTTTCCCAACCGGGGTGCCGTCTGTCCAGAGCAGGGGTGCCGTGTAAAAAGTCCTTTTTTAATACCGTATTTTTAAATTGCTAAAATGTTCAAAAAAGCATCTATTATATAATATCCATTTCTGATGTCACCAATAATTAGAGATGTACCGAAATTTCGGCTGCCGAAAATTAGTTCACCGCTCAGGTTTCACTTTCACGTGGTGTGACGCTCTGCGTAGACTATAAAAATATAATATAATATATTAATTACAATTTATAATTGTTAATTATAAATTAATAACAATATTTAACTTCAAGAAAATATTATTTTGTAAAATGAATAAAAATAAGACAAATTAACTATAAAATATATATAATAAATTAATTCATTATTAATTATAATTATTAATTAATTGTACATTAATAACAGATTTAACTTAAAAAAAATAAATACAAATAAGAGACTCCTATAAATATAAATAGTATATGTAATTATAATTATAATACACAAATTTATTAAAGAAAATAAAAATAAATTACGCACCAGGAAGGGATTGTTGGTTACTCCAGGCGCAGTCATGTTCTGTCCAAACGGAGTGACTTTAGCCTGACCAAATGCAGCAAAACCTCCTGAGAGAGAGACAAATATGTGAATACAAAAAAGAAATGAGACCATGTAAAGCAATCTTTTTAGCTTAAGTACAACTGAAACATTCTACAAAATGCCGCATGACAGTGGAACAAATTGTAAACCATTAATATAATGGCATTAAAATCTTTGCAGTAAGTCTTTCTCAGCCCCTACCGTTGGGTTGTTGGGGATACGGGTGCTGCTGGGCGAACGGCTGTCCAGGAAATGCTTGCTGGAAGTTTCCACTGAAGCTGGTGGGAAGGTTGTATGCAGCAGCATTCCCAAACCCAGTCGGCATGCTCATGGACGGTGGGCCGAAAGAGGCTGTGGGACACAAAGAGCTCTGCGTTAACATCTCAGTTTGACATACACATGCCGTTCAGTGTATTTTACACAATCTGTGAGATGCAGTGACATAATGTTTGAGGTTCAACTTCACTTGAAACAATCTTTAAACAACAGCTAAACTACCTGAATTAACTTAATATTCTTTATCAGTGGATGTGAAATGTAACTTTTTCAGGAATCCAACACTCCACTGACAAGTCATTCACAATAAGCTTAGGAAAAAGGGTCATGTTGACTTTAAGGAAGGACTATTTTTATCCGGAGTACAGAAATCTGTGGCAATGATTCTGCAAAGCAGATGACAAAACTGGACAAAAGCTCCACAGCAAAAAAGGAGGAAAGACAATACAGAACAAAGAACTAACAGTTTCCAATACTACTAACGTTATTCAACATTAGTGAGTCTAGTAATATATGAATATATACACGTGATATATATATGCACACCTGTTCAAAAGTTTGGGGTCAGTAAGATTTTTTTTTGGAAAAAAGAAATGTATCAGAGGTTTCCACACAACTATTAAGCAGCACATCTGTTTTCAACATTAATAAACAATAATAAGAAATATGTTTTAAGAACCAAATCAGCACATTAGAATGATTTCTGAAGCATCATGTGATACTGATGACTGGGGTAATGGCTGCTCAAAATTCAGCTTTGCCATCATCACGTGAATGCATTTTAAAATTTATTAAAATAGAAAACAGTAAATTTAAATTGTAATATTTTACAAAATATCTGCTTTTACTGTATTTCTGATCAAATACCCTTGGTGAGCATAAGAGACTTCTTCCAAAAACATACAAATCTTACCCCAAAACATTTGAACAGTAGCATTATATAACAAAACATCAAAACAAGTGACACAGAAAAGCTTTAGCATCATTTGTTAGCAGATGCCACTTGGCTTGATATTTTGTATCTAATAAAATACACACATTTTTAAGTGGCCACTGAACATATATGCTTTTGGTGAATGTTCTGTCACAGCTGGAGACCACTGATGTGAACATGGGATATCAATACTTTATCTGGGGTTCATCAAGACAACACAAGCATACCTTTCTTTAATGGGGTCAAAAGGTCAAGATGACCACACAATTGTGGTCAGTGTAGTTTATATAAGCCAACTAGTCTACAGTCAAGGCCAAGCCCCAGAAAAGGAAGAGAGAATAGGGAGAAAATAAGAGAAAGAGAAAGATGGACATACCGAAGTGGGCCGCAGGGTAAGCCTGACCCTGCAGGGGTCCTAACATGTCTGATCAGCATGTCAAGAACACAACCAGACAAAACCATCAGTCGCAGCTCACTCCATTTGAAGTTTTCTCTCACTTTTGGCCTATATAAATTTCATGGGACAAAAAAAATCTGCTTCTCATTCATTTATGCCTTTTTTCTTTCTCTCTCTGGAACATGAACACACCCAACATTTATCCGCCGCAGGGATGTAGAGACCCACAAATCTCTGCAGCTCTTCTGAAGTGCCTTTGTATCTCGCCTGTGTGTAAGCGATCTCAAGCTGTTAGCTCCTAGCATGGATACTGGGGGCATCTGACCCACTTAAAACTGTTTACAAAGCCCTCAGGCATGTTAAATAAATAATGAGACACAAAGCAAGAGCTGCTTAAACTCTTTTAAAACCGAGGACAAAGCCTGCTGTGAATTCTGAGAAGATTCTCTGCGAAGCAATGCCAGGTTTGATCGAACAACTCATTTAAACTCTTAAGATTTAGCAGGTCAACATAAGCTCCGCCCATACCCGCTGTGACCACACCCACTCCTGGTACTGCTGCTCTTCCATTGGTCTGGAACGGATTAGTGGGAGCGGCCTGTGGGGCCCCAGGAGCGACGAATGGATTCGTCGAAGGCCCTGTTACAACCACAAGCGAGATGTAAGAGATGCGGTGAAGAAGGTAGATTGGAAATTCCAATAGATCTTAAAGATGCTTACCTCCAAAACCCTGAGGCATGCTGGGTAAACCCTGTTGCGCTTGAACTGGAGGAACACCCGTAGAGGATCCAAACACAGACCTGAATGTGAGAGCGGAAAGAGAGCTTAACACAACCGAGAAAAAGACATTGAGAGGTAAAGGGCCACATCTCTTTATAGTCTCACCCTTGTGCTGTGGTGGCAGTGTTGTAGCCGCTCACGTTTGGTGCGGAGGAACTAAAGACGTTGTCCAGTTCAGCAAGAGCAGCGTAGCGATTGCCGAACAACAGAGCCGCCTGTGGACCCACACCTGCTGATGGAGGGGCTGAACTTGTGCCTGTGGAGACAGACATAAAGTGGTTATTTTTAGCCATTTTTGTGCACATGTACCCCAGTTTTTATTTTATAAATAATAAACATTTTGAAAAGACTTATTGTGCTCTGTAGCTTCACACAGCATTTGAGGACAGAAAATGAGTCGACGCTCAAAAATCGTTGTTCCATGCCTGCATAGGATGGGCTGTAGGAGTGTGAGAAAATGTACCTTGCTCAGGTTTGCTGCCGAACACGTTGTCGAGGGTGGCGAGGGCTGCGTATCGGTCTGCAGGGACGCTGAATGCTTCCACTTTATGCCCCTCTCCCACGGAGTTACTCTGGGTGGAGCTAAATGAGGCGAAATCAGCACTGCACGATTTGGGGAAGTTATCGAAGTTTGCAAAGTTGGCATTAGCTAGTCCTGATGAGCTACCTGTGAAAAGGAGAGAAAGGATGAGCAAATATGTGACAGAAATGTTAAAGAGCAATGCTCCCTCTAGTTTTTGTTGTTGGGGAGCACCTTATGCTGTTTACCACATTTTGTTTTAATAAATTAAGGATAATTTATAATAACTAAGCTAAAAACATGGAAACCATAATTTGTATTATTTATATAATATTATATATATATATAATACTATATATATATATATATAACATTTTAACAGTTTTATAAATCTATAACAAATACATAAAATGCATATGTTAAAATAAAAATATTAAAATATATTATAGAAACATAGTATTATAAAAATAATTTATTTATTATATTATTAAAAATATAACAAAATTTAAAAACTTTTTGTCAAGACAGCTTTTCCCTTAATCTCAAGAATGATGTGTTATATTCACAGTACAGCTCAATGTGACCCAAAACGCTTTTTCCGTCTGTACAGGAACAACATCACAAGCACGTAGCTTAGAGGGAACACTGACTAAGAGTGTCCTTCAAATCAGAGAGACATCCCAGGAGAATTCCTGAGGAGCTATATAAGGAAAATTGGATTTTACACCACTGCATGAAAGTGTCACAATTAATGAAAACCACTTCCAATAGCAAATTAATTGGGGGCTAAGCGTGTGTACAAAAGACACAGACAGGCACACAAGCTGTGACTTACTGTGCATGGCCAGTGGAGGCAGCGATGAGGTAAACTCGCCCACACTGTGACTAAATGGGAGACTGCTGTATACTGACATACGCACAGGAAATGAGTGAATGACAGCGCAGGGATGTTAAGAAAAGCAGAAAAAATGGTCAAAGTAATAGAACTTAGAGAAATATAGAGAAACGAGAAAAAATAAGATTGTTTTAATGTTTTTGAAAGAAGTCTCTTATGCTCGCCAAGGCTGCATTTATTTGATCAAAAGTACAGTAAAAACAGCAATATTGTGAAATATTATAACAACTGAAAAGAACCGTTTTCTCAGTTTAAATATATTTTAAAATGTAATTTATTCCTGTGATACAAAGCTGAATTTTCAGCAGCCATTACTCTGGAGCACAAAACCAGTCTTAAGTCGCTGGGGTATATTTGTAGCAATAGTATCTCGGCCAAATACTGTCCTATCCTAACAAACCATACATCAATTGAAAGCTTATTTATTCAACTTTCAGATGATGTATAAATCTCAATTTTGACAAATTTACCCTTATGACTGGTTTTGTGGTCCATGGTCACATTTAGAAAATAAAAAAAAATAAAAACAGAAGAAAAATAAGTCAAGCTGATATAGTGAGCAACTGAAATGACAGAATGAAATCAACCAGATATTTCTGCACCCACCACTGGAGACATTAAAGGGGTCATATGATGCTGCTAAAAAGAACATTATTTTGTGTATTTGGTGTAATGAAATGTGTTTATGCGGTTTAAAGTTAAAAAAACACATTATTTTCCACATACTGTACATTATTGTTTCTCCTCTATGCCCCGCCTTTTTGAAACGCGTCGATTTTTACAAAAC